TGGAAAAACAAGCATCCCATGTACTCTCTAATAAATTGGGACTAACCAATGGGCATAACAAGTACCTAAAGGGAAGTAAAAGTCATTGGAACTCAAGGGCGAGGCAGAAGAAGGGGAGAAGCAAAACCCACCTAACAGGTACAATGAACACTATTTGGGTGATAGACACGTTTATAGCCCTGACTCAAGCCCATGTAACAAAAACATTTGTACCTCCTTAATATCTTTTGAAATAATTTTTAAAAAGGACTAGATAATAAATATTTTAGGCTTTTTAGGCCATACGGTCTGTGTTGCATCTACTCAACTCAGCCAGTAAGGAGTGAGAGAAATCACAGAAAATATGGAAGTGAATGAGTGTGGATGTGCTCATTAAAACTTAATTTACAAAACAGGCAACAAGGCAGCTGACCTCCGAACAAAGACTTGGTTCTAATGTCACCAGTTTTTTCCTTTAATATCCTTTTTCCATTCTAGGATACTATCTGGAATCCTACATTGCATTTAGTTGTTATTTCTCTTTAATCTCTTGCTGTGTGTAAAAGTTTCTTAGTCTTTCCTTTCCTTGACAGTTTTGAAGAATGTTGATCAGTTATTTTTGTCAAATGTCCCTCAATTTGCATTTATCTGGTACTTCATCATAGTTTTTCTGAAATTTGTACTCACGAAAACTTCACTAGAATATTACAGAAATGCATCTTGTTACTGGTGATATTGATCTTCATTATTTGGTTAAGATGGCTTCTACTGAATTTCTTCATTTAATGCTAACTATCCTTCCCTTTGTACCTACGAATATCTTGGGCTACATTCCTTGAGACTATGCAAATCCTGTTTCTCCTCAAACTTTCTTCCTCAAATTTTAACATGCATAAGTATATCTTGTCTGAAAAAAAGTATTACTGCAATGTTTGCCTAATGGTAATTTTCTTTTTTTTTCTTTTTTTATTTTTTTACTTTAGCGTATTATGTGGGTACAAATGTTAAGGTTACTTATATTGCTCATGCCCCCCTCCCCCCTTGAGTAAGAGCTTCAAGCATGTCCATCCCCCAAACGTTGCACATCTTACTCGTTGTAGTTGCATATGTTTGCCTAATGGTAATTTTCTATGTCTTTCATTCCTTCTACATTTAATTGAAATTCTAGTATAAGGAAGAGTGATCTTCCTTATTTATTCTTTGATTTGGTTCTATCAAAATTAACTCATGGGTGGATATTTAGGTTATCCTATGGTTTATAATCCAATAATATAATTTGTTTTGTTGCTCAAATTGTTCAGGTTGGCTCCTGTATTCTTTCAACATTTTTTTTTAAGTGTCATTTCAAAAGCTCTCAGTTTTAAAATTCTTTTTTTTTTTTAATTTGTAACGCCACAAGACTTTTAAAACTCATCTTGTATTTTCCCTATCCAGGCCTTAGAATCAACCACTTATCCAAGGAGCCCTGATTCTTTTTAATGGAGAATGGTGTTTTGAAACCAAGAGCTAGACATTAAACATTCTCATTGCTACTGGTGTGTCACAGTTGCTGGATCTCTCAGCAGAGGAGAGCCCTCCTAGAAAATATGTGCATGAATACTAACACACACACACAGAGACAAGTATTGATTATAATCCAACACCACGGGACTGATTTTTGCTTTCCCCTTTATGTGTTTACAACTTTTTTTCTCACTGTTGGGACAAACTGGCTCTTATTATGGACACTATATTTATGTATTTAACTGTAAACACATAAAATAGTTTAAGAATTGCTAACACATACACTTATGAAAAACACATTTACTAAATGGATTACGGTATTTATTTCCAGTTTTTTTTTTGTCTTTATTCTAACGGTATTCAAGCAAGGTTGTATTTTCTAAAGTTACTTAGGTTAGTTCTTTTTTCCTTATTCCTTTCAGTGCGGTTATGTTATCTATTTTTAATATAATTAGATTAATATGTTAGTGCTTGTATTCCATTTGTACCATTTTGTGTGTTACCTCCACATCACAGTTGGTTTTATTATTTATTATTTTGTTTGTTTGTTGGATAGGTGAAGGGTCTGTGGAATAATACTGTGGTTGAAGAAAAAGAGCTATTCAAAAGGATACATTCAAAAACCATCACTTCCACCTGATCCTTGCTACCTATTCCCATCCTTCCTCCTTCCACCATTTACTCATTCATCCATATAGGTAACCAATTTTTTTAGTCTTGGTTAATTCTTTCTATATTTCTTTTGCACAAATGTACATATAATGTGTATTTTTATATGTACTATTTTTATTACATTAAGGATAGCATATTCCAGATAGTCTCTGTACTTTTAAGAGTGATTCTTCCGAAAAATAATTTTGACTCAAATTAGATGTTGTGCTCAGTGAGGAAACTGTGATGAGAATACGAGGTTATCTTTTAAAGGAAAAGACAACTTTTGCCGGAAAGACATCTATGCATGAAGACAATTATGATCTTAGATAAAAATTATATGGCATGCATGCCAATAAAAAGATAAATAAAATATACATGTGTATAATTAAAAGAAGAAACTAAAAGTTTTAATTTATCTGAGAAGATTCTCAAATTAATCTCAGAAATGCATTTTGAAATAACATTGAGATATTTTTTTGAGCAGGTTGATAATATCACCTAATTGAAAAAATATTTGGAAATAACCACTCTTTATTATTAATAGAATTGTACATTGGCACAATATTTTTTTTGTTTGCAGTTTAACAATATGTATAAAAATTTTAAAAAGCACAAATGCATTGATTTGGCAATCTCACATTGGCCAGTTTTACTAATATATCATGCATGTGAACAAAAAGGTACATGTTCATTGCATCTTTGTTTTTAACATAAAAATATTGAAAACATAATATTCATAAAGTAAGCTTTGCATAATGCTATGGTACCATAATATATCATGCAGAAGATAAAAAAATGGGGTAAGTCTATGCATACTAACTTGAAAAAATATTCAAGATCTGTGTTTAAGTTTAAAAAATCACCCACTGTGCAATGATTTAATTCTTTAACAAACAATACAATCTATATTGGTAGAAAGTTAGCGTGTGTTATGAGGGGTGAAGCCTGTATCAGTCAAAAGAAATTTTTGTCAGCCTGTGAAATTTAGCAGGTGCGTGTTAACCGGCTGAATAGGAAAG